TGGTGATTGTCTAACCGAAGAGTGATGACCATGAGATGAAGGAGGACGGACGAAGGACGAAGGAAAGTGAAAAGCTGATGATGAAGGGAATGAGGGATAGAAGAACCGAAGGAGAACTAAAAAGTAAAGACTAGAAAAGAAAGGAATGAAGCCGAAGGAGGTTAGGGAAGAGTGGAAGAAATAAGGAGAACTGGAGAGTCACGAATGCGTGTTTTCGTGTTTCATTTTCAGGTGAGAATGAAGATTGAAAAGTTAGGGATTTAGAAATTAGGAATTTGTTTACTATTTATTTTGATTTTTGATTGAAACTGAATTTTTTTTCCTAAAAACCGAACCGAACCAAAATAATATTGTTTTTTTATTCGGTTTTAAATTGTATGATTTTACATTTAAATTGAACCAAATTTCATAATTCGATTCGATTTTTGAATAATCAAATCGTTTGCTCACCCTCAATGATTGTAATCGAACCCAAAAAAAACTAAAAATGTTTGAGTAATGAATCCAATAATGGATGAACCGGCACCCGTAAATGAAGAACACTATAGCTACCGCCTAGAAAACTCGGAAAAATGAAGCAACTATTCCCCCGAAATCCTTCAATTTTCACTTTCTCTCAACCCAAAATTCTCATCTTTTTCTTGATACCCTTTTTCCTCGTCTTTCGGACATCCTATTTATAGCCTAAAACATATTGGTTTTCTTTTTAATTTTTCCAAATTTCCCTCCTCTATCCGTTACCAAATTTCTTCACTATTGCAGCATGGATAGTGGTTCAATCAATAGGATCATATGTCGACGGAGAATCAAATCAAGGATGTAACAAACTCGGATAGAAAACCATTCCCGGTTTTTAAATCTATGTAAAAATTCGAATGGAATAGTGAATTGTTCAATTCATTATTTCATTTGCCAAATTACAAAACGAGTCCCCATATGTTTTATATTACAATTGCATCTTCAATTTTCTTTCAATTAGGCCTTTAATTTTATTTGGATTTATTTTTAATTTAACTATTACTAACTTTCAATTTCAACTCAATTTAATGCAATTAGGTTCCTGCCGGCTTTAAATTTTAGTTTATATATTTCTTTTTTTTTCCTTTTTTTTTGGAATTAAATTTTCATAATAATAGAAAATAAACTAAATAATTAAATAAAAATAAAATAGAACCCAAGATTTGGGGTTATGACAATGTTCTAGGGGAAGGTGCATATTGTGACTAGATCTCCACAACCTACTCATCTCCCTTCTATTCCCACCAAAAGTGGTCTTAACCATTAAAGGTTAGAGAGTTCCATCTTTATCAAGATAAGGACTTATCTTAATAAAATGTTCATAACACTATTTTTATCAATAAGAACTCAATTCACCTTATGGTTGGATAAGATTTTGGTGATGATAAGGGCATCATCGTGAGGGAAGGTTGCTTCCTCCGTATCTTTAGGAGTGAACTTGATGGGCTTATGCCTAAAGATTGGGGCTCGCGAGGTGGTGAGAACCTATCTTTTGTATGTCCTACTTTTTCTATTAGAGTCCGCCACGATAAAAGCCCTTTTAAGGATGAACTTGATCCCTAGAATGGCATCTTGGTGATTTCTAGTTTATGGACTTGAGCAATTTTATAGAGATCTCTCTTTTTTTTTCCTTTGAATTTTTTTAAGGGTGAGCTTGGTTGGCGACAACCATTTCTTCTATTTGAATATGACTTCCTATCACTCATTTCACCTAAAAAAAGGTTTCTATCTAGAAGAATATATACTCCTCTCCATAAACTAGTGCAAAAAACTCTACCTAATTTAAACTTTTATAGCCACGAGCTCTAGCAATCGATCAACTTTTAACAATTTTTCATGGAAATGAGAGTAGTAAGCCTAAGTGCTTTACCTCTCTTTTAGTGAAGGCAAATAAATCGATGGAGTTCTTATCGACATAGATGTTGGTGGAGAAATGAACGTTAGGCTTGAAGCATAAATCTTCGATACCAAACTAAAAATCAAAGTTATTTTATCGGTTCTTGATTATTCTTTGAAAGAGGTGAGAAGGATCTTACACATGACCTTGGTGCCTTACAATAATAATTTGAGAGTGCCTTTAACATTCTTCACTTGCTCTCCCAGCATCAATCATGCCATCATAGGTGTTTAAATTCATCTTTATAAAGATGAAACATTTTGGGAGTATAGTGTTTAAGATTCAGCTCTAGCTAGCAAAATATGGACTTCTCACCCACTTGTAGGTGTTTGGGTTCTAGACTCACCAAGGCTATTTGAGAATATGAGTCCTTTAGGTAGTGCCTTTTTTATGGTCCTTCGTATTATAATGATGCTCCTATCCTTCTCCATATATCTCAATCCCTCATCTAGAACCTTGATCGGCTAGTTATTTATTATAATGGAAGAGTTACTATTGTCAAGTTACGAGAGTGGTGACATTTTCTTCTTTCGCCCTTCATCATGTTTCTTCCTAGGGTTAGAAAAGTTATAACATTATCTTCTTTCACCCTTCATCTCGTTTCAGTTCTCCATCTCTTCATCAAAAGGTAATTGCTCGTATAAATTTTGAAAAATAGGTTGTAGAGGTTGAAAAATAGGTTGTAATCCCACACTAGTAGGCCTCGCAGTGCTACCGATTGAGTAGGAAAGGCTTTGGGTTGTTCTTACGAGGCTAATAGTGCCTCCATCAACCTCTCGAACTTGTTGTTATAGTTAGAGGAGGTCCAATGGTTGGGCGTTTAAGCTCGGATAAGTCTAACGTGACACATTATCTTGATATTAGGGTTGTAATGCTTGTTAAGAAATAGGAATCGTGCTAGAAAAAATACTTACAAAACAAGTCTTTCTAGTTCGATGGAGGAGCTTTTTATAGAATTAGATAGTTGAGATTAAGTTCCATCCAAAAGATTTAAGCCTTATAGTGGGTAACCACTCTCAACTTTATATATTATTCACTACTCGATTTAACTATTCAATGTGGGATTGAGATTAGGTTCCATCTAAAAAACTTAAGCCTTATGGTTAATGATCATTTCTCAACTTTATATATTATTCATTATTAATTTAACTATTTAATGTGAGATATATGTCCAATGGTTGTTGAGAAATAGTGAAATTGAGATTGAGTTCCATTCAAAAGACTTAAGCCTTATGGTTAGTGACCCCTTCTCAACTTCATAAATTATTCATTACCGATTTAACTATTCAATGTGAGTTATATATTATTCATTACCGATTGAAATTGTTGCTATAGTTGGAGGAGGTCCAATGGTTGGGTACTTAAGCTAGTCGAGTCTAACATGACACCTTATCTTGATATTAGGGTTGTAATGCTTGTTGAGAAATAGGAATCGTGCTAGAAAAAATAATTACAAAACAAGTCCTTTTAGTTCAATGGAGGAGCTTTTTATAGAATTAGATAATTGAAATTGAGTTCCATCCAAAAGACTTAAGCCTTATGGTAGGTGACCGCTTATCAACTTTATATATTATTCATTACTCGGTTTAAATATTTAATGTGGGATTGAGATTAGATTTCATCCAAAAGACTTAAGTCTTATGGTTAATGATCTCTTCTCAACTTTATATATTATTAATTACCGATTTAAATATTCAATATGGGTTATGTGTTCTAACATTTTTTACAATCAAATTGATATATGAAAAAGGAGAATAACCAAAAGGGAATGTAATGCAAGACTAATGAAAACATTGAATAGTGATAGTAAAATAATAATAATAATAAAAATAAATAAATAAATAACTTTAGTATTTGGTCTATTGGTCATTTATACAATCAAAAGACTCGTCACGTTACTTGGATAAAATAGTCTATTTACTTTTTGACTATCAACAACTTCTTATATCAATTTTTGAGATAAGATCACTATTATCGATTTAGGAGATAAATGTATTCCATTCCCTTATTATCAACAAAGATAAATATAGTTCATTCCTATGCTAACAACCTCTAATATTAACTTACGAGCAAGAGATAAGTGTAGTTCGTTTTTTTTCCACCTACCAATTTGAAAGATAAATATTTTTTTTTATATTAACAAATCAATGCTGAGAGGATCTCATGATGCAATTACCAAAGTGGGTTAGAATTGAGAGCATGCCCTGTACTATTAATCTTTTTCGATTGATGGAAAGTACTCTGGTGTAGTTTATGAGTATGTCTAATAGATGTACTATTTATCTTTTTCGATTGGTAGAAAGCATTTTCGTGTAGTTTATGCGTCAGTCCGCGTGAAAGTACCTTTAGTGGAATTTATAGTTCATCCGTCTATATCTCATGCGTGATTTCGTCCCATTTCGTCCCCTCCGCCTACCTCATCTATTTCTCAGGTGTGATTTCATCCCCTAAGCTTATGTCTGAATAGATAGCTAGACTAGAAAAAAATGATTATACAATGACACATATGATCCGAATATATCACATCATACCCATATTTTATCATTTACAAATTACACATAAAAAATTGGTTTATAACCTCCAAGAATATCATTCATCAAAATATTAAAAAAATACATATATATATTATGAGAATACTCATAGTAAGTTGCCGAAAAGCCCTGGCTCCGCCAATTCTTCTCCAAACAAGAATCCCAATTTATAAAAGATACATATATTAAAGCACACTAGCCAACCAACATCCAACCAAACCTTCCTTTCAATGCTAACACGCATATCCTTGCCATTACTCATTATCACCATCTTTACACACCCTACCATTTCATAATTCCATAATTAACAATTACTACAAAAAAAAAAAAAAAAAAAAACAAAAAAAATATACACTGCTACACCAAATATAAACAACGTATCACAAAACTTTATTATTATTGGGGGAAAAAAAAACTAAATAAGCAGTAGACTGGGGGCCGCCACGTTGCGTCACCAAGTCAATAGACACAGCCCAATCCATCCTTTATCCTGCACATCCTGGCGCAAATTAGCATTCATGGCACACGCACGAACACCTCCTCCTTTCTCTCTCTCAAGCCATGACAGCCACATCTTTACTCTTCGACGCATCCATAGTCGACGGCCTACCAGAAGCCGAAACGGATGCGTAACGGGAGGAGAAATCGCGAAACCCACCGTAATCATCCAATTCATCGAAATTCCCATTCTGTCCTCCCGGCCCTTCATCAAAATTTAGCGAGTAACTTAAAGGATCATACTGGAAGTTCCCATGGCGCCTTCCGTTACCACTGCCACTGCTTTTATTTCTATTAAATCTTCTAATGAACGTTTTCCACCTAGGACCCGCAACGATCTCTGACCACTCTCTAATCTTCTTAAACGCTATGATCCCCTTCGCCCACCATCGAGTACGATGAGGATCATCACCGTGTGATTGTGATGATGATTGGACTCGCTCCCAGAAGGATAATCCAACGGTGGAGGATCGTCGGGAAGAAAAGCAGGGAAAACAGAAGCAGCAGCGTGTGTTTGCTAAGAGAGAATTCGACGTCGTTTCTTCTGGGATCGGTTCTGCCTCTCTAAAGGCCATTGAGATTTATCGAATCGTCTCTCTCTCTCTCTCTCTCTCTCTTCACAAGAGAGAGGTTTTTATATGCGAGTGAAGAGATGTAACGGAAAGATACTGAGAAGTGAGACTGACAGATGCCAGTTAGGGAAATTTTTTTTTTAATTGTCTTGGGAGAAATTACGCAAGTGTCATAAATTATAGTAAATTACAAATTAATTCATGTAATTTCGAGAAATAAATTAATTAGTCTCTTGTTGTAAAAATTAGTTATTTAGTTTTTATATTTTAATTTTTATATTTATTTTTTATTTTAAAGAAATATAAAAGAAAAATAACTAAAAAAAAATGAAGGATTATGAGAAAAGCTTATATTTTTAAATAAATTAATATTTGATAAAATTTAAAGAACACTGATTAGGATTCAACAATTAGTTTTTTTCTTTAAAAAAAGTGATTAATTTTTTTTTCAAAAATTGAAAGACTAATTTATAATTTACTCCATAAATTTGTATAAGGTTTAAATTAAGTCTTCAAAGCTCAAAATTTAAAGATAACTACTCATAAACCTTTATTAGTCTGTTAAATCATGAATGAGAACAGAATTACACTTAGTAATTTTTTCATATTATTGAACAACTAATTTTAATGAAATCAAATAAGTGATCATAATTTTATTTTTCATCACTTTTAATTAGGATTTAATTTTGGCATCAGAATACGAACCAAAATTTCCAACCATACATGGTAGCAGGAAGCCTCTAACCCAACACTATACAGTACAGTCATGTGTGGATACCACACATGAAACCAATAATTATTTAGTGAAAAAAAAAATTAAAAATTCTGGCAGTGTTTGTTATTGGTAGGGCAATATTACTTAATTTTGTACTTTTGGGACCTGGATGTAATCGAGCTATATCAACAAAGGGCTAAATCTAAGGCTTGCCCTTTCCAGTCCCATTTAGTGGAAGCGTAATCGAGGGCTGTGTGTTGTGGCTTCGTGAGTCCATAAATATTTTGGCTTTTATGGAGAGATAAGGGTGGATTTGAGCATTATAATCACATAATTAATTATGCCATTTATTGCTTGCGTCTGAGTATGGGGTACTGGGTGGGGATTGGGGAAGGATTATTCGGTAATTTTGATATTCTAAGAGCCGTTGTGGAGTGTGAAGAGGGAGTGTTGGTGGTAATCAGGTACTCTGCGATGGGAATTTAGTGGGGTCCAGATGAGGTGTCATGACGAGGAATTTTGGTTGAAGAGGTCCGATGGAAGAGTGAGCAACAAGAGTCCCAATTGATTTATCATTGTGGATCCCACCACCGGAACTTCAAGCTGTATCATTAGACGAACAGGACAACGGGATGAAACCGCTTTATTAACTTTCTGACAAATTTTTTATTTAAAATTTTTAATATCAAATTAAACATTAAATTATTAATTTTAAAAAAAATATTTAATTTTTTTAATTATCATTATATGTAACGATTAATTTAATTAACTGAAACTTAAAATGATAAAAAAAAACCTCATTTGGACATTCCATTGTGCTTTTTTAATATTTTAAAAATATTTTTAACTTCCTAATCTTGATTTTTTTTATTACTTTTTTCTTATATATATATATATATATATATAACTCCATAATTTTAAAAAAAATTTAAAAGTTTTTAATAAAATATCATAAATGTTTTATAAAAAAATATATATATTTTATAATTTATAAATTAGGGGGTCAACTCGTTAATTATGCTAATTTTAGTTTATAAAATATAATAATTTATATTATAAATATTTTAATGCTCGTTGGATACTATAAACATTTTATAAAAAAAAAACTTAATTAACAATACATGATTTCGGGTGTTTAAAAAATATTTTATTAATTAAAATAGCATAATTATGGGTTGATCATCTTAATTTTATAAATTATATAAAAAATATTTTATAAAATGTTTATACTATTAAAAAAAATTAAAAGTGGAATACTAAATCAAAATTGTTTTGATATTACAAGTAATGATCAACCTCTTTATATCCAAAAACTTGATCAATTTTATCCAAAAGCTAATAGTTTGTAAGTTTCAATTACATAATTTAGTATTAAAGCTCCGAAATTATCAAATAGCAATAGAATGAAGGTAAAAGTTATCATTAAACCATTCACTCTTGTAAAAAAGTTTGGGCACAAAAGCAAATTTAGCTGGGGTTTAGTAGGTTGAATCGTAAATGGTTTTTTTTTTTCCCCCTAAATGGTTGTAAATGTGATGGTTGAGAATATAATTGTTAAAAATATAAAATTTATATTTGATTGGAAAGAAAATTTAGTATAAACTGCGAATTTTTTTTAGTAGAATCAAAGAAAGTCAATTTAGTTGCCTCACACAAAAGTCCTAATATAAGTTAACTTTCAAATTATTAGAACAACTAGCTCATGTTGCGTGATATATTTTATACTAAAATGAACCAAAAAAAAAAGTAAGAAAAATTTAAATCTGAACTTTAGAAAAATACATAGTAAAGTTTAATAGCTAAATACTTTAGGATCATTAAAAGAGTTTTATAGAATTAATAATGGTGGGTTTGTATTTGGTGTATTAAAGTTTATGTTAGAAATTAATATTTGATTTGAGATGGCATAATAAATAAAATAAATTAAAATAAATGAGTATTATAAAACATAAAATTTAAATATTATTGCAACTGAAATAAAATACAACAAAGCTGATGTAATTATTCAATTATTAAAAGTTGATCAAATATGGAGAAGTTATAGCTAGAGCATCAACAAAATCAGAGAGACTGTTTTGCATTTTCTTCCATTTACCAATCAGTCTTGTGGCGAGCAGGAGATTGTCCGGGCTCCCATTACTAATGTCTAGATATCCTCATGAATTTCTGTTGTTCTTACCAATTCTAAATTACTCTACCATGAAATATAGATAAGAACAGGGACGGGTCTTCTACCGGTTAGAATCAAGCTTGATCATCGGCTAGTGGAACAATGAGGTATCAATGAAGCAAAAAGGTTACTACGTGGAACTTAAAAATATAGAGATAAATAGTTTGTGGTTAGATCGGTGGATTATGATTTTTTTTTTTAGGATAAATATATTCATTAATCTTTGCACGCTAATCAAAGTTTCATATGATGTTAGGTTTCTAATTGCATTTTATTCCTCACCAAAAGTAGTTGATGTATTCACTGTCTTTCGATCAATTTTTCTAGATAAATAATTTTTTTTACCAAAATATCCTTAATTGAAATGTAATAAATAAATAAAATTTTAAATATTTTAAAATAGAACATACTTGTCATTTGACCTTTAAAATTTATTTATTTATTTATTATTATTATTATTATTTGTATTTTAGTAAATGATATTTTTTAAAAAAAAATTCCATGATTAGAATGTTTGATCAGAAAAACAAATTGAACATTTCAAAAAAGTTTAAAGACATATGAGATATAATTAAAAATATAAAAATAGATAAATTTTTATTGATTATTATATAAGGATAAATGAGTATATTTACTTCTTTTTAAAAAAATACCAACTACATAGTTGGAAAAAAAATGTACTTATAAATCAGTTCTATTTTATTTTTATTTTTATTTTTAAATACAAGTAGCTAAAGCTTTGGAATATGAATTTAAGGAAACTCATATTCATTGTAATTCGCTGATCTATTCCGTATCAATAATTTCAATACAAGTTTTTTCAAGTATAATTTTTTTTTTTAATTTTATCCTTTATTCTTATTTACGTGTTTTCTTTATTGTTTTCTTCACATGCTTTGTTTACAAGTTTTAATGCTTTTCATATCATGCAATTTAACTTCTTTTTTTTTTTCTAGTTTGTGTTAACTCAATTATGAATAAAAACTCCACAATTATTTACATAAATTTTTATAATTAATCGCTTAATTTAAACATCATTGTTTATTGTTTAATGTAAGGTCTCCTGTTTACAAACATATTTATTATTTTTTTTAACTGAGTTAGACCTTATGGTTTTCACAACCAATATAAACTTTACAGTTGACAACTTAATTAAACTATAGCTAATTTCTTTGTTAGACACATTAGTTTATCATAAACTCCATAGCGTGACACTCCATATGAACAATCTTTGTTTTTATTTGGATTGGATAATTCACGCTCGTTCAAACTTGTTTGATTCTAGATTTCTATGGAATCCAAATTTGATTTGATTGCTGTGTAGTTATAGCCATCTCACATATTGAGTTTTAACTAAAATCTTTCATCTGCTTAAAGGAAGAAATTCTAGGTGTAACATCAAGACATAACAAACTTTAAATCGAATTTTAATCAAATAACTAAGGACGTCATAACCCAATTTTAATCTCCTTATTTTCATAAAAAAATCTAAAAAATAAAAAATTTACATTTTTATATGATTTTCCTTTTTAAAAAATTAATTTTAGTCTTTTTTATGATTTTTAATATTTTTGTGAGCTTCGATGATATATATATATATATATATATATATATATATATATATATATATATATATATATATATATATATATATATATTTGTGTGAGAGAGAGAGAGAAAGAGGAATTTTTTTTTAAAAAAAAAACGAGACAAAAAAAAATGAGAGCAAAAAAATAAAATAAAATAAATATAAATAGTTGTGAGTGAGATATCCTATCCTAATTTTATATTTTTTCCTCATCCAAACTTTCCTAGATAGGATAATCTTACTTTGAGAGAAACTCAAACTCCTAGCTAAACAAAAACCTTCCCCTTCTATAAAGACAAGAACTTAACTCAAAATGTTTCCACATACACCCAACCAAAGGATAAAGATAAACCATGTAATTTTACTAAAAAAGGTCGTACAAAGATAAGGATGAACTTAGACTAAAATCTAGCTAGGTACATATCCTAATTTCACTTATAAATCATACCAACCAAAAAAGATGAAAAAAAGGACAAATCGGAAAAATAAAATGCTCTATCACCCCCTCTCTCTCTCACCCTACCCAAACT